AGCCCCCCCAGTTTGTGGTAATTTATTATGGCAGCCACAGGAAATGAATATGCAGGGATCTGAGGCCAAGCCTCCAAGTGTTGGCCTGTCCCTCAGCTGGTGGCTTGTCCTCAGCCATTTGCCTGCCAGAACTTCACAGGCTGCTGGGCTGGCAGAGAGCTCAGCAGAAAATCTGGCCAGCAGAGAACTTTGTTGAGCCCCTGGAATCCAAGCATTCAGCCCAAGATGGTTGTAGCAAAAGGTGCTCAGTGAAGAAAACAAATGTTGACAAGCATATTTTAAAAATAGCTCTGTGAACAGGGTGGGGCCTCCAGGGGACAACGTTCTACTTCCTGAGCTGAATGCTAATTTCATTATTGGTTAAATCTTCTTTCTTTTCACATACACGTTATATACTTTTTTTTTTTTTTTAAAGAGACAGAGCCTCACTGTCACCCGGGCTGGAGTGCAGTGGCACAGTCATGACTCACTACAGCCTCAATCCCCTGGGCTCAAGTGATCCTCCCACCTTAGCCTCCCAAGTAGCTAGGACTATAGGCGCATGCCACCAAGGCCAGCTAATTTATGTATTTATTTATGTGAGACTGAGTCTCGCTCTGTCACCTAGGCTGGAGTGCAGTGGTGCCATCTCAGCTCACTGCAACCTCCGCCTCCAGAGTTCAAGCAATTCTCCTGCCTCAGTCTCCTGAGTATCTGGGACTACGGGCATGCACCACCACACCTGGCTATTTTTGTTTTTATTTTTTTCTTGAGATGGAGTCTTGCCCTGTCGCCCAGGCTGGAGTGCAGTGGCACAATCTTGGCTCACTGCAACCTCTGCCTCCCGGGTTTAAGCAATTCTCCCTGCCTCAGTCTCCAGAGTAGCTAGGAATACAGGCGCCCACCAACATGCCCAGCTAATTTTTTATTTTTAGTAGAGACCAGGGTATCGCCATGTTGGCCAGGCTGATCTCGAACTCCTGACCTCAAGTGATCCGCGTGCCTCGGCCTCCCAAAGTGCTAGGATGAAAGGCGTGAGCCACCATGCCTGGCCCGACATAATATACTTTTTTTTTTTGAGACAGAGTCTCGCTCTGTTGCCCAGGCTAGAGTGCAATGGCATGATCTTGGCTCACTGCAACCTCCGCCTCCTGGGTTGAAGCGATTCTCCTGCCTCAGCCTCCTGAGTAGCTAGGATTACAGGCATGTGCCACTACGCCTGGCTAATTTTTGTATTCTTTAGCAGAGACAGGGTTTCACCATGTTGGTCATGCTGGTCTTGAACTCCTGACCTCATGATCCACCCGCCTCGGCCTCCCAAAGTGCTGGGATTACAGGTGTGAGCCACCACGTCCAGCCAATATACTCTTTATGAAGAAGTATTTCATGTTTTAAATAAAAAATGCAAATGCATTTTTAAAAGCCCTGTCTTGCAAAACCCAAACAAGTGAATGATTCTGATCATCTCAATAATCCCCTCTTAATGTCTAACTGCCAAAATAGAAGAGACAGACAAAAAAAACTGTATGACACGTGGGCAGAGGCCTGACTTCAGTATGACGACACCCTCCATCTGGCACCAGTGGTGAGAAATTGGACAACTGGAGAGAGTCTCGAAACAGCTTCACAGACAGATTTAACATCTGACTCGTCTCAATCTCTCATGATGCCCTCATCTTTCTTTTCCTAGACCCAAGTGGAAAAAAAAAAAAAAAAATCAGCAACACCTAAATGGTTCTTCTAGCAATTGTTCTTGTTGAGGTAACTTAAGCCAAAAATCTCAGCACCACCACTGCTCCCTGCTACAGTGACAAGCTTCACAGAGCAGTAACTCAAAACAAATTATTTTTTTAAACAGAAAAACAGGGTCTTGCTCTGTTGCCCAGGCTGGAGTGCAATGGCACAATCATAGCCCACTGCAGCATTGAACTCCTGGGCTCAAGCAGTCGTCCCACCTTAGCCTCCCAACTAGCTGGGGCCATTTGTGCATGCCACCATGCCTGGCTAATTTTTAAATTTTTTTTTATAGAGATGGGGTTTCACCATGTTGCCCGAGCTGGTCTCAAACTCCTGGGCTCAAGCAATACTCCTGCCTCATCCACCCAAAGAGTTGGGTAGTGTGAACCACTGCGTCCAGCCCCAAATATTTCTTGAACTTTAGTCTGACTGGCAGAGAAACAAGTCTAATGTTTAATCCCTACCCCACAAGCCAGAACACCTAAGAGAGGGGTGGGAAGCATGGAAGTGATGTTCTCTTGTGCTATTTTTTACCTATCGATGGGACAGACCACAAAACTTGATAATAACTGAGCTGGCCGCAGGAGAGGAATCAGGCTTTCCAACTTCACAGTTGAGAGGAGAAGGAGGGACATTAACTATTTACATGAATATGCCCTTTGACTTGGCCCCCCGATTTTTTTTTTTTTTTTTGAGACAGGATCTAGCTCTGTCGTCCAGGCTGGAGAGGAATGCAGTGGCAAGATTATAGCTCACTGCAACCTTGAACTCCTTGGTTCAAGCAATCCTCCCACCTCAGCCTCCTGAGTAACTGTGTACTACAGGCACAGCTGGCAAGACAGGGGGGTCTGAAGTGTCTGGGCATGGCTGGAGCCCAAATACGTTCACTGTGTATTTAGTACATGATAATGCATGTGTCTATCCATTGCAGCTCTGTTTGTAAAAGCTAAATATGGGCTGCAGCTTAAACAGCCATCAGTAGGGGAGTGGCCTTAGAATGCCTATGTCTGTTCAATGCAAATTTACCAGTGGTTTAAAAGGGCTGGGGGATATATACCTCCCCCCACCCGTTTCTGCCACCCCAGTCATAGACTACCTCTGGAAGAAAACACAAGAAATTATCAACAGTAAGTGCATCTGAGGAGGAACGGGGTAGACTGCCTGATTTCTACTACATGCCCTTTTGTACTGTTTGATTTTTTGTTTTTAACTATATAATAGGCCGGGCGTGGTGGCTCACGCCTGTAATCCTAGCACTTTGGGAGGCTGAGGTGAGTGGATCACTTGGGGTCAGGAGTGCGAGACCAGCCTAGCCAATATGGTGAAACCCCGTTTCTATTAAAAATGCAAAAATGAGCTGGGCGTGGTGGCACACGCCTGTAATCCCAGCTACTCGGGAGGCTGAGGCAGGAGAACTGCATGAACCCAGGAGGCAGAGGTTGCCTTGAGCCAAGATCACGCCATTGTACTCCAGCCTGCGCGACAGAGCAAGACTCTTTCTCAAAAAAAAAAACTCAAAAACTATACACTCAATGATCTTGTCAAAGTTTATACACATGTACATATATAACACACATGAAATATGTGTATATAAACTATGTATATAAACATATGCATATAGGTACTGTGTACAACACACACCCACACACATATACATACATATATACACACACATCCATATATGTTTTAAATGACCCCTATTGAAGTTGGACAGAAAACCCAAATGGCTTCAGTTTCCACAGGAGAAGCTGAAGGTGACATGACCCTCTGGAACATTCTGGCACCGTCTTTGCAGGGAGAGGTGGGAGGGGATAAGAAATGCTCCGCAAACCTTACAGGAAATGGCACGTTATTGCTTTTCAACAACAAAGCCACTGTCCTCCTTCTATGCTGCATGCTTGCAAATCAGACTCAAGAGAACTAAAAAGTTCCAGAAGAATCATTCCTAGCACCATGCCAGGCTCCCAGGCTCGTTTTGCAGGTTAGCTTTAAACAGCTGAAACAGTAGTTTGACTCACTCTAAAGAGTGTTTCCTTACTCTGTTTATCGGCTTCAAGGGCCCAAGGAGTGTCTGAGAGGGGTCCTCGGTCTGCAAGGGCTGGGAGCCCCGGCCCCGGCAACTCCCTCTCCGGCATCCTGCAGGAGGTACCCAAGATGATGACCCCCCCTCCTCCGGTAGCGTCTCCACCGCCAGCCCGCCCCAGGACTCCGAGACACATGCTTGGCAGAGGGGCTGTCCCTTCCAGCTAAGCCTTTCCGGACCGAGTCAAAGTCACGACTCCTGCCAATCCCTCTGAGATAAACATAACAGATGGGCGCAAACGCGGTGGGTCCCCACAGCAGAGGGTCAACGATGCCCAGGATGCAACAGTCTCTGCCTCTAGCATTCAAGTGGTTTAGGTCTGTGGCTGGCAAAATGGAGATGATTCCGGTTTCGTCTGACCGATGGGATTATTCTAAGGTCCGGAAATCACTTTATAGACTGTCAGGCACTGTTAGAAATGAACACTGGGGTAAGCTTTTGTTTGGGGAGGGGAGGGTGCAGCGATACTGAGATACCAAGGCTTGGGGGACTATTGGAGGACCTGGGGGATTCGGGGGGATTATTACAGAGGGTGTGCGAACACAGGTGCACGTGGAAGAAAGCCCAAGATGGGAGAGGGTAGGAGGGAGGAGAAAGGGGAGAGACAGAGGTGTGGGGCTGCCAGGACCAGAGGGCAGTTGCCGGGGGTAAAGTCCCTGAGAAGAGGGACCCAGGTTGCTGGGGGAGTGGGTACAAGGGTAGCGAGCAGATACCTGGATATGAGGAAAGGCAGTAGGGGACGGGACCAGGTCCAGGTGTGAGTTGCGGGACCGTGGGTTAGAAGTCACAGGCTCAGGTGTGGATGTGGGGGTGTCATCGACAGGGACAGTCTCAGGTGATATGAGGGGTATTCGTGAGTGGGGGTGGGTGTTCGTGAGTGGGGGCGCGGTGTCAGGTGTGTGAGGGGGATGTCAGACCCAGCTGTGCGGGGCGCCGGGGACAAGGCCCCACGGGTGTGGGAGATGTCAGCAAGGACAGTTTCAGGTGTATGGGGGATGTCAACGAAAAGGGACATGGTGTCAGGCGTGCGTGGGCTGCGGGTGAGGGGCTCAGACCTGGATGCAGTAGCCCCCAGAGGGCAGTAGACGTGGAGTGTGGGGTTGGGGGGGTCTTTAACCTCTTCTTGCCCTCGCGACGCTGCTGTCACGCCCCGCCTCGTCCTCCCCTCGCCCCGGGATCCATGACAGGACCCGTGCCTTACCTCAGTTCAGCCCGACAAGCGCGGGCCGCTGACGCTTGCGCCCCCCGGCGCCCCCGCGCCCCCTCACCGGCCCGGACGCGTCGCCGCCGCCGCCACCTCCAGCCGCCACGGCCCCGCCTCGCGCACCGCCAGAGCGCGCCATGGGAGGGGTCCACGCCACGCCCCGATTGGCTGCTCCCTGGCCAGTCAGCGCTGGAAACGTCAGTGATTGGCGGGTATGAAGCGTATGGGCAGCCCCCGAAGCCAATCGCTGACGGGCAGAGGTGGGGCTATTGGGAGAGGCCTGGGGTGCCTCGGTGGTCCCGCAGGGTGCTAGGCGCTGGGAGGCGAGGGCCTGGAGGCAGGCGAGGAATCTTGGCAGAAAACAGGCAGAACTGTCGGCCAATCGCCGGGGACCAAGGGCGGGGCTACGAGGAAACTGGCGCGACCGGTGGCACAGAGGCGAGAGGAACAGAGGGCGTAGCCTGGGGGGAGACGGGGATTGGCTGCAAAGCCGCAGACTGGCAGGTCCCGCGGCCAGTCGCAGCGGCCGTGGGCGGTACGCCCCCAGGGAAGGCTGGAGCGTTCAAGGTGCAGTCTCACCCAGAGCGTGGCAACCCGACGCCTGGTGCAGGGTCCCCTGAGACTCTCGTGTAGAGCCCGCCCTCTGGCCACCCGGCGCAGAAGCGGCTGTGAACTTGGACCATCAAGGCTGAAGGACTCCTGGATAATTCTCCATCCCCTTACTCCCCACTAATCCCCTGCAGACGACACAGAGAGGGCAGATTCGCTGGAGGTCACTCTGAGCTGCCCTCTGCATCTCGAGGTGGTGTGAAGACATGGAAATAAGGAGCAGAATCCTACTGAAACGTGCTGTGTGGTTTTCTGTGTGTCTGACCTGTGTCCCAGGTTACCTGCCATGGTATCCGGTGACATCCCTGTTGGGCCTCCTCCCTGCTAAGCCTTTTATGAATTAACTGAATCTTAACCACAGTCCCACGAGGTCAAAGCGACCACTGACCCCTTTTACAGAAACCAGAGCACAGAGAGGTCAAGCTCCATGCCCAAGGTTACACAGCACGTTGGTTGCTAAACCAGACAATGAATCTACAGCAGCCTGCTTTTTGGAAAGGGAGTGTCAGAGAAGAGCCACTGGGGGCCTCAAGAGACCTAGGTTTGAATCCTTGTCGAATCACTGGCCCACCACACAACCTTGGGCAAAGGCCTTGTGAGCCTCAGCTGTTTCATTTGGAAAAGAAGGGGGATAATGATTCCTATGCCTTGATCTTTCCTCTCTGGGGTTGCTTCCCTGGGAAAATTTATAACCCAGCTCTCATTTTAATTATCTGATGAAAGCATTTGACCCTCAGCAGGTCATGTGCGGCCTGTGAGCCTCAGCTCCTCTGTGAAGTGTGGTTAATGGCGTTGCTTTGCAGAAAAATGCCAGCCGTTTAGGGAGACACCTGCCATCTCAGGCATGGCTGTGTCATCGGCACCTGCCCCGAGGCCACTCTGTTCTCTGACTCACCCTTCATTTTCAAGACGAAGAAGCCTACAAATGTTTCCAGATACCAGCTCTTGTTTCCTCTAGGTGCTGGCCAGGGTTGGTGGAGATCAGGTTCAGAACCAGAGAATCCTGGGAGGGAGCAAGGCTGAAACCAACCTTAGAAAGGGCTCATGTTTCAGGGCTGTGCAAGCCCCTGCTAAGTGCGTGATACACAAGTTTCAAATGGGGAGGATGTGACTGGAAATCACTAGCCCAAGGCCATCATCAAACTCCTGATATTCTCACGATATGCCTACATGGACCTCCCCTCCCATACCTGCCACCTATGGTTTACTATCCCCGGCAACTTCCAGGACCTAGCCTCCATTGTGCCCTCCAGAGAAGAGGAGGAAGCTGAGGTCAGTTAAACATCAACTGGGTGCCAGGTCCCTGCTGGGCTTTCTCCAATACCATCTCCCCACCTCACTTCCAGGTGGACGTAACAGTGCCCACTTTGCAGATGAGAAAACTGAGCCTATGGTGGAGAATATTCCTTGGTGGAAGGACCCAGGGCTGGGTTTGAACCCCTGCTCTTTTTAACATAAGCAATGGCCAGTAAGAGCCACAGAACCTTCAGCAAATAACACAAGCTCCCCACTTCAGTTTCCCAGCTATCTCCTAGGGCTGATGTGAGCATTGATGAAATGGAAGCGAAATGCTTACAATGGCTTAGTCCACGGTAAGCACTCATAGAAGTCTGGTGATGATGATATATTGTTCTTCTCTGGGCCTGTTTCCCTCTCTGTAAATAGCGCTTCATGGAGACATAGACTAACTATGGGCGTGGCTTGCCACACCAAGAGCAAGATATCTATGCCGAGGAGGCCCCACTCCCAGTGCCCACCTGCCAGGCCCTGGGAGGGGTAGGTAACAAAGCTCCTGGAAGGTCCCACAGTACTTCCAGGGACAGCGCCAACTAAGGCAAAGGTCAGGCTCTGGCCCAGCCTGGGGCTGCCTCTCTAGCTTCTGCTCGTTCTTTAGCAGGCTGGCGCCAGCCAACCTCCCTACCACCTTCCAGCAATGGCAGGCAAAGCACCCTGGCAATAGCAATGGACACCCCCACCACAGGCACTCATGTGAGCCCAGCTAGGGTGCCCAGGATCTCGGCTCTTCTGCTTTGGCTGGCCACTGGACAGGATACTGCCTCTTCACCCTCCAGTCTGCTGTACTTCTTGGGGATCCCAGGAATCAGCTGTGAGCCAGGCCCTGGCACAGCGTCCAGGCCTAATCACCTGAGGCCAGAAGGCCTTTTGCCCAAGGTCAGGTTAACAACTTTGGAAAAAGATGAGGGGCCTGGAGGCAGGCCAAGCTGTGGTCTCATCGCACCACAGTCCCTCAAATGCCTATGAGTCTATTTCCTATCTGGAAAATGGGGTTTAGTCCAGCCTTTGCGAGATGTATGTTCACAATAGAAAAAAATCTGTGTTCGTTTCCCAGGAACCCAAGCCCATCCCGGGCTGGAGGGACACATCCTGAACACAGCAGTGACAACAACCAAGCCTGGCTGGGGTCAGAGTGGCCTCATTCACCTCCCAAGGCTCAGAGAAGTCAGGCCACTTCACCAAGAGCCCACAGCAGCAGAGGCTTGGCTTGAACACACTTGCACCATCCTTGCAGCAGGCTCCCCCTCAGCCCAGGTCTCGATGTCATCAAGGAGGGCAGCAAAAGCTACTTAAGAGAAGGCTGGGGCCAGGCGCGGTGGCTCACACCTGTAATCCCAGCACTCTGGGGAGGCCGAGGTGGGTGGATCACGAGATCAGGAGATCGCGATCATCCTGGCTAACACGATGAAACCCCGTCTCTACAAAAAATACAAAAACATTAGCCGGGCGTGGTGGTAGGTGCCTGTATTCCTAGCTACTCAGGAGGCCGAGGCAGGAGAATGGCGTGAACCCAGGAGGCGGAGTTTGCAGTGAGCCGAGATCGTGCCACTGCACTCCAGCCTGGGCAACAGAGTGAGACTCTGTGTCAAAAAAAAAAGAGAAGACCAGGTGCAGTGGCTCATGCCTGTAATCCCAGCACTCTGAGAGGCTCAGGAAGGTGGATCACCTGAGGTCAGGAGTTGGAGACCAGCCTGGTCAACGTGGCAAAATCCCGTCTCTACTAAAAATACAAAAATTAGCCAGGCGTGTGGCACGTGCCTGTAGTCCCAGCTCCTCAGGAGCCTGAGGCAGGAGGATGGCTTGAACCTGGAAGGCAAAGGTTGCAGTGAGCCGAGATCGTGCCACTGCACTCCAGCCTGGGCGACAGAAAAGGGAAGGGGACGGGGATGGGGCTGGGGGGAGTTATGCGCCGGACATCCCCTGAATCGGGCCTTGCTAGGGGCTGTGGCCCTCCAGTGTACCAGACCTAGCCTGAGTTCAGATGAGAAAGTCGAGGCTCACAGAGGGGAGGTGATATGCCTGAAGTGGCTGAGGGGGATGGAAAGCCAGGCCATCAACCCCAGGGAAATGTGAGATCTTTGATGAGGGGCCCCCACCCAACCTGAGGCTGTCCAAACATGCTAGCTGCATCTACTGAAGACACCCACTTCCTTGGGCTAAGGTGGGAGGGACTGATAAGGCAGAACCACCCCTTCCTGAAGAAGCCTGCAGCTTGGCCCAGGCCCAGGGGAGGACACTGGGGCCACCTGGCAGGGACCTCGAGTGCTTGTCAGTTTATTCAGGTGAACGTTCAAAAACATTGATGGGAAGCTGAAGGCGCAGCAAGGGGGGACAGGGGCCTGCCTGCAGAGAGCCAGCCGATGGTGGGGGCAAGACAAACAGGAGAGTTCACAAACGAGGTGACCTCAGATGGGGCCCAGCGTCAGAGCCAGAGCACATGGGGTGATGAGATGGGGGTCTCTCCTGGAGGAGGCAATCTGAGCTGAAACCTCACGTGCTAGGAAGAGCCAGCCACGGGGAGGGCCGAGGGAAGGGCACTTCTAGGCAGAGGGCATGGCTTGTCACATGGGGGCTTGTGCAAAGGCCCTGGGGTGGGGGAATAGGGAGTGAGTGCAGTGGAGAGGAAATGGGAGATGGGCAGGGCCTGGGTCACACTGGGTCTGCAGGGCATGAAGAGCATTTTTTGTTTTTTTGTTTTGTTTTTTGTTTTTTGAGACAGGCTCTTGCTCTGTCACCCAGGTTGGAGTGCAGTGGTGCCACCCTAACTCACTGCAGCCATGGACTCCTGGGCTCAAGTGATCTTCCCACCTTAGCCCAAGTTGCTGGGACCACAGGCAGGTTTTATGTAGAGGGCAAAGGGGAGCCATGGGCAGACTGAGAGCAAGGTTGGAGCAGGAATGACAGGGCCAGCACTGCAGGCCTTCCTAGAAATAGCCCAGGAGCACCTCCCCACCACATGACAGATGAACAAATGCTTGAGAACTGCCCAGGGTCACAAGACTACCCAAGGTCACACTGGCCCAGCAGGTAAGTCAGGGCAGTCTGGGGCAAGTTCGAGATCTTTCTCCCACATCCTGGGAGTCTCCAGGGAGAAGGGACAGGGTGGGGTGACTGGGTCAGAGGTTTGGGCCAGCCCTGCTGACCTGAGAGCACCCTTTCCTGCTGGGGGCAGGGGAGACGAGGACACCACGGAGGTGCAGCCAGGG